TACATATAGAGAGAGGAGGAGAGGTGGGCAATCAGCAGCCTCTATTTGGCAGTGGGCGTGGCTTAGCTACAAAGTCAGAGGAAGTGAAACCGATTCAGAGAGGTGCATGGGAGGGGCTTCGATTCGATTGGCTAGTTCAGGAAATGTAGAGCATGTGACCTGCACGAGGCCCGGGAGGGGGCGGTCTCCGGGGAGTAAAGTCTCTTCTCTGCCTTTCCCTCCCAGGTGCTTCCTGGAGATCCTGCGGACGTACGAGAGGGCCCACAAGGTGACCTACGCCCACAGCAAGAAGATAGCTGCGCTGCTCAAGCAGTCCGCCACCAGGTGTGTCCCCGGCACCGCGCACTTCCTGTGTGTGGCCACAAGATGGCAGCAGAGCTCCGCTGACTCACTCAGCTTCCTTCTCAGTGACTGCGCTTTACTGATTCCCACATATAATGAAGTCTGAGAACGGACTCAACTGTCCTCGCTGAGCCACACACTCCTCCCCTACCCCAGTCATCAGTCTGCTGCAGGCAGGAGGAAGCATTTCCTCAGTCTCCCCTCCCCCCGTGATCAGTCTGCGGCAGGCAGGAGGAAGCATTTCCTCAGTCTCCCCTCCCCCCGTGATCAGTCTGCGGCAGGCAGGAGGAAGCATTTCCTCAGTCTCCCCTCCCCCCGTGATCAGTCTGCGGCAGGCAGGAGGAAGCATTTCCTCAGTCTCCCCTCCCCCCGTGATCAGTCTGCGGCAGGCAGGAGGAAGCATTTCCTCAGTCTCCCCTCCCCCCGTGATCAGTCTGCGGCAGGCAGGAGGAAGCATTTCCTCAGTCTCCCCTCCCCCCGTGATCAGTCTGCGGCAGGCAGGAGGAAGCATTTCCTCAGTCTCCCCTCCCCCCGTGATCAGTCTGCGGCAGGCAGGAGGAAGCATTTCCTCAGTCTCCCCTCCCCCCGTGATCAGTCTGCGGCAGGCAGGAGGAAGCATTTCCTCAGTCTCCCCTCCCCCCGTGATCAGTCTGCGGCAGGCAGGAGGAAGCATTTCCTCAGTCTCCCCTCCCCCCGTGATCAGTCTGCGGCAGGCAGGAGGAAGCATTTCCTCAGTCTCCCCTCCCCCCGTGATCAGTCTGCGGCAGGCAGGAGGAAGCATTTCCTCAGTCTCCCCTCCCCCCGTGATCAGTCTGCGGCAGGCAGGAGGAAGCATTTCCTCAGTCTCCCCTCCCCCCGTGATCAGTCTGCGGCAGGCAGGAGGAAGCATTTCCTCAGTCTCCCCTCCCCCCGTGATCAGTCTGCGGCAGGCAGGAGGAAGCATTTCCTCAGTCTCCCCTCCCCCCGTGATCAGTCTGCGGCAGGCAGGAGGAAGCATTTCCTCAGTCTCCCCTCCCCCCGTGATCAGTCTGCGGCAGGCAGGAGGAAGCATTTCCTCAGTCTCCCCTCCCCCCGTGATCAGTCTGCGGCAGGCAGGAGGAAGCATTTCCTCAGTCTCCCCTCCCCCCGTGATCAGTCTGCGGCAGGCAGGAGGAAGCATTTCCTCAGTCTCCCCTCCCCCCGTGATCAGTCTGCGGCAGGCAGGAGGAAGCATTTCCTCAGTCTCCCCTCCCCCAGGGATCAGACTGCAACATTGTATCCAGTCACAAGGTGAGAGGCTGCAGCAGGGGCTGATGTGTGTCAGACATTTGTGAACAGGTTCTGTGCGGGGGAAGAGTAATGCGCAGTCACTGTACAGACACATCCTACATGTCATTCTCATCCTCTCCGCAGTCTGCAGAAGACGGGTCACCTGTACATCCTGGGCTGGGGGACGCTGGGAGTGATGGCGATCATGGACGCGGCAGAGTGCGTGCCCGCCTTCCATGCAGGTACAGACCACCCCCCTTATTTGCATATTAGCCCCTCCCACTTTCAGTGATGAGGATTCTGGAATCAGAGATACATACCTGACATTTCTGGAATGTTCCGTGACGGGGGAGGAAGTGCCGGCGAGAGCTTCGTAAATACGTCTCCGGAGGGAAACCCAACAAACTCCTTCCTCCTACTTCATACATCGGGGCCCGGAGAGTGCGGGGGCCCCACCAGTGACCGGGGATCCTCAACTCTCTGCACGGACCCTGCAGATCCCCCTCCGAAAACTCTCCTCGTTCCTGATTGGTTCCCGTCCTCCCCTGGTCCGGCTTCATATCCATTCTGTTGTCATTGTGATCTGTGTTATCCGTGTGTGATCCCTGTGGGATCCCTGTGGGATCCCTGTGATCTGTGTGTGATCTGTGTTATCCGTGTGTGATCCGTGAGTGATCCATGTGTGATCCGTGTGTTATCCATGTGTGATCCGTGTGTGATCCGTGTGTGATCCATGCCATCTGTGTGTGATCCATGTGTTATCTGTGTGATCTGTATGTGATCCCAGTGTGATCCATGTGATCCCTGTGTGTGCTCCGTATGATTCCGTGTGATCTGTGTGTGATCCCTGTGATCTGTGTGTGATCTGTGTTATCCGTGTGTGATCTGTGTGTGCTCCGTATGATCCATGTGTGATCCCTGTGATCTGTGTGTGATCTGTGTTATCCGTGTGTGATCTGTGTGATCCGTATGTGATCCATGTGTGATCCGTGTGTTATCCATGTGTGATCTGTGTGATCCGTGTGTGATCCATGCCATCTGTGTGTGATCCATGTGTGATCCCTGTGTTATCTGTGTGATCTGTATGTGATCCCAGTGTGATCCATGTGATCCCTGTGTGTGCTCCGTATGATTCCGTGTGATCTGTGTGTGATCCCTGTGATCTGTGTGTGATCTGTGTTATCCGTGTGTGATCTGTGTGTGCTCCGTATGATCCATGTGTGATCCCTGTGATCTGTGTGTGATCTGTGTTATCCGTGTGTGATCTGTGTGATCCGTATGTGATCCATGTGTGATCCGTGTGTTATCCATGTGTGATCTGTGTGATCCGTGTGTGATCCATGCCATCTGTGTGTGATCCATGTGTGATCCCTGTGTTATCTGTGTGATCTGTATGTGATCCCAGTGTGATCCATGTGATCCCTGTGTGTGCTCCGTATGATTCCGTGTGATCTGTGTGTGCTCCGTGTGATCCATGCCATCTGTGTGTGATCCATGTGTGATCCCTGTGTTATCTGTGTGATCTGTATGTGATCCCAGTGTGATCCATGTGATCCCTGTGTGTGCTCCGTATGATTCCGTGTGATCCCTGTGTGATCTGTGTGTGCTCCGTGTGATCCATGTTGGATACATTGTAACATTTCTATTTCCCGCCATCGCTGCTCTGGAACACCGCAGAGTCAGACCACCGCACTCTGCCTGACCCTCCCCCGCTGGGGATGTACAATGATGGGCAGAAGCCCAAAATGACAAACAGAGCTGATAGAGGACAGCAGGGAGAACGGTTGCCCTCACACAGGTCTGACACTGCGGAGGACCATGATGGGGGGCTCTTCTCTGCTAGAGCTGACTGATCATACATACAGGAAGACAAAGGAGGGGTGCTTGGGGGAGGGGGATCATATATATAAGAAATACAGATATGAGTATTTGGCTGCACACGGATCGCACACGGATAGTCAGGGCGGAGGCCTCCATTGGGATATCCTGTCTTGGGTAAAGCCGCCATGCCAGTTGTGGGAGGCTGAGCCAATCAGGAGGACAGGTCGGGTCTCTTTCCAGCTTTGGCCCGAGGGAATTGTTGATCACCTCCTGATCCTTCTCCTGATCTTCCTCCTGATCCTCTTCCTGATCCTCTTCCTGATCCTTCTCCTGATCCTCCTCCTGATCCTTCTCCTGATCCTCCTCCTGATCCTCCTCCTGATCCTCCTCCTGATCCTTCTCCCGATCCTCCTCCCGATCCTCCTCCCGATCCTCCTCCTGATCCTCCTCCTGATCTTCCTCCTGATCTTCCTTCCTGATCCTTCTCCTGATCCTCCTCCCGATCCTCCTCCCGATCCTTCTCCTGATCCTCCTCCTGATCCTTCTCCTGATCCTCTTCTTGATCCTCCTCCTGATCCTCCCCCTGATCCTCCTCCTGAACTTCCTCCTGAACTTCCTCCTGATCCTTCTCCTGATCCTTCTCCTGATCCTTCTCCTGATCCTTCTCCTGATCCTCCTCCTGATCCTTCTCCTGATCCTCTTCTTGATCCTTCTCCTGATCCTCCTCCTGATCCTCCTCCTGGTCCTCCTCCTGATCCTTCTCCTGAACCTCCTCCTGATCCTTCTCCTGATCCTCCTCCTGATCCTTCTCCTGATCCTTCTCCTGATCCTCTTCTTGATCCTTCTCCTGATCCTCCTTCTGATCCTCCTCCTGATCCTTCTCCTGATCCTTCTCCTGATCCTTCTCCTGATCCTCCTCCTGGTCCTTCTCCTGATCCTCCTCCTGATCCTCCTCCTGATCCTCTTCCTGATCCTCCTCCTGATCCTCTTCCTGATCCTCCTCCTGATCCTCTTCCTGATCCTCCTCCTGATCCTCTTCCTGATCCTCCTCCTGATCCTCTTCCTGATCCTCCTCCTGATCCTCTTCCTGATCCTCCTCCTGATCCTCTTCCTGATCCTCCTCCTGATCCTCTTCCTGATCCTCCTCCTGATCCTCTTCCTGATCCTCCTCCTGATCCTCTTCCTGATCCTCCTCCTGATCCTCTTCCTGATCCTCCTCCTGATCCTCTTCCTGATCCTCCTCCTGATCCTCTTCCTGATCCTCCTCCTGATCCTCTTCCTGATCCTCCTCCTGATCCTCTTCCTGATCCTCCTCCTGATCCTCTTCCTGATCCTCCTCCTGATCCTCTTCCTGATCCTCCTCCTGATCCTCTTCCTGATCCTCCTCCTGATCCTCTTCCTGATCCTCCTCCTGATCCTCTTCCTGATCCTCCTCCTGATCCTCTTCCTGATCCTCCTCCTGATCCTCTTCCTGATCCTCCTCCTGATCCTCTTCCTGATCCTCCTCCTGATCCTCTTCCTGATCCTCCTCCTGATCCTCTTCCTGATCCTCCTCCTGATCCTCTTCCTGATCCTCCTCCTGATCCTCTTCCTGATCCTCCTCCTGATCCTCTTCCTGATCCTCCTCCTGATCCTCTTCCTGATCCTCCTCCTGATCCTCTTCCTGATCCTCCTCCTGATCCTCTTCCTGATCCTCCTCCTGATCCTCTTCCTGATCCTCCTCCTGATCCTCTTCCTGATCCTCCTCCTGATCCTCTTCCTGATCCTCCTCCTGATCCTCTTCCTGATCCTCCTCCTGATCCTCTTCCTGATCCTCCTCCTGATCCTCTTCCTGATCCTCCTCCTGATCCTCTTCCTGATCCTCCTCCTGATCCTCTTCCTGATCCTCCTCCTGATCCTCTTCCTGATCCTCCTCCTGATCCTCTTCCTGATCCTCCTCCTGATCCTCTTCCTGATCCTCCTCCTGATCCTCTTCCTGATCCTCCTCCTGATCCTCTTCCTGATCCTCCTCCTGATCCTCTTCCTGATCCTCCTCCTGATCCTCTTCCTGATCCTCCTCCTGATCCTCTTCCTGATCCTCCTCCTGATCCTCTTCCTGATCCTCCTCCTGATCCTCTTCCTGATCCTCCTCCTGATCCTCTTCCTGATCCTCCTCCTGATCCTCTTCCTGATCCTCCTCCTGATCCTCTTCCTGATCCTCCTCCTGATCCTCTTCCTGATCCTCCTCCTGATCCTCTTCCTGATCCTCCTCCTGATCCTCTTCCTGATCCTCCTCCTGATCCTCTTCCTGATCCTCCTCCTGATCCTCTTCCTGATCCTCCTCCTGATCCTCTTCCTGATCCTCCTCCTGATCCTCTTCCTGATCCTCCTCCTGATCCTCTTCCTGATCCTCCTCCTGATCCTCTTCCTGATCCTCCTCCTGATCCTCTTCCTGATCCTCCTCCTGATCCTCTTCCTGATCCTCCTCCTGATCCTCTTCCTGATCCTCCTCCTGATCCTCTTCCTGATCCTCCTCCTGATCCTCTTCCTGATCCTCCTCCTGATCCTCTTCCTGATCCTCCTCCTGATCCTCTTCCTGATCCTCCTCCTGATCCTCTTCCTGATCCTCCTCCTGATCCTCTTCCTGATCCTCCTCCTGATCCTCTTCCTGATCCTCCTCCTGATCCTCTTCCTGATCCTCCTCCTGATCCTCTTCCTGATCCTCCTCCTGATCCTCTTCCTGATCCTCCTCCTGATCCTCTTCCTGATCCTCCTCCTGATCCTCTTCCTGATCCTCCTCCTGATCCTCTTCCTGATCCTCCTCCTGATCCTCTTCCTGATCCTCCTCCTGATCCTCTTCCTGATCCTCCTCCTGATCCTCTTCCTGATCCTCCTCCTGATCCTCTTCCTGATCCTCCTCCTGATCCTCTTCCTGATCCTCCTCCTGATCCTCTTCCTGATCCTCCTCCTGATCCTCTTCCTGATCCTCCTCCTGATCCTCTTCCTGATCCTCCTCCTGATCCTCTTCCTGATCCTCCTCCTGATCCTCTTCCTGATCCTCCTCCTGATCCTCTTCCTGATCCTCCTCCTGATCCTCTTCCTGATCCTCCTCCTGATCCTCTTCCTGATCCTCCTCCTGATCCTCTTCCTGATCCTCCTCCTGATCCTCTTCCTGATCCTCCTCCTGATCCTCTTCCTGATCCTCCTCCTGATCCTCTTCCTGATCCTCCTCCTGATCCTCTTCCTGATCCTCCTCCTGATCCTCTTCCTGATCCTCCTCCTGATCCTCTTCCTGATCCTCCTCCTGATCCTCTTCCTGATCCTCCTCCTGATCCTCTTCCTGATCCTCCTCCTGATCCTCTTCCTGATCCTCCTCCTGATCCTCTTCCTGATCCTCCTCCTGATCCTCTTCCTGATCCTCCTCCTGATCCTCTTCCTGATCCTCCTCCTGATCCTCTTCCTGATCCTCCTCCTGATCCTCTTCCTGATCCTCCTCCTGATCCTCTTCCTGATCCTCCTCCTGATCCTCTTCCTGATCCTCCTCCTGATCCTCTTCCTGATCCTCCTCCTGATCCTCTTCCTGATCCTCCTCCTGATCCTCTTCCTGATCCTCCTCCTGATCCTCTTCCTGATCCTCCTCCTGATCCTCTTCCCGATCCTTCTCCTGATCCTTCTCCCGATCCTTCTCCCGATCCTTCTCTCGATCCTTCTCCCGATCCTACTCCCGATCCTCCTCCTGAGGCTCCTGCTGATCCTTCTCCTGATCCTTCTCGTGATCCTCATCTTGATCCTCCTCCTGATCCTCTTCTTGATCCTTCTCCTTATCCTCCTCCTGATCCATCACCCGATCCATCACCCGATCCTCCACCTGATCCTCCACCTGATCCTTCTCCTGATCCTCCTCCCGATCCTTCTCCCGATCCTCCTCCTTATCCTCCCCCTTCTCCTTATCCTCCTCCTGATCCTTCTCCCGATCCTCCACCTGATCCTTCTCCTGATCCTCCTCCTGATCTTTCTCCTTATCCTCCTCCTGATCCTCCTCCTGATCCTCCTCCCGATCCTTCTCCCGATCCATCCTCCGATCCTTCTCCCGATCCTCCTCCTGATCTTCCTCCTTATCCTCCTCCTGGTCCTCCTCCCGATCCTCCTCCTGATCACTTTCTTATATCTGTATATAGACAGTATATGGTGAGAAGGGACTAAAGGTAGAGCAGCCGCCTCATCTGAGCTGGAATACATGTTCCTGGGTTCTAATTCTCATTGATCACCAGTACAGGTGACCTGTTGGGTTAGAGGAGTAGGAGGAGATGGGCGCTCTTGGGGTGGGGTGACTCAGGTCTTCATAAGGGTTGAAGAAATCATTTTATAATGAGACGGTACAGTGTCTGCCCCTCGTGGGCCGGCCCTGCACTCTGATTGGTTCATTATCTGATTCATAGATCACACTGTAACAACATTGTAGCAATGTGACTTCTTTGCAGATTGGAGAGACGTGCGCGGCTTCATAAATGGAGGATATCAAACCATGGAGAACAAGGACGGGGACCTGAGCTCTCTGGTGAGTGGCCGACAGTCACGGGTAATAAACATGGAGCAACGCCCCCCCCCAAAGAAACTGCTGGATTGTAATGTCTCAACCTGACCAACCCTGTAGCTGCTCCTCAACACTCACCGACCCTCCAGTAGTGACCTCAAAGCCAACAACAGATCCTCTAACTACCTCTGTTGGCGGCCCTAGATTTTTCAGTAGCCACCTCCAGTTAGAATGGATCCTCTAAGTACCTCTGTTGGTGGCCCTCCCAATAGGAACTGGTCTTCAGGCTCCATGCGAGCAATCACAGATGCCTTTTTGAGCTGAGTAGTGATGTCTCCAGGCCATGCCCCATAAGCTCTCCTGGGCATAATTCCACTCCTCTGAAGATGCTCCAATAGGCGGCCATCTTCCTGGTTCTATAGGCCCTGACACAGAATGGCTTCTGGGAGCCCAGGCTCTGGCCCTAGGCAAAGACTGGACCTCTCTGCAGGTACACCCCCCTCACCCCCTAGCAGCAGGACTTGGAGGCAAGGAACCCCCGGACTCACATCCTCTCCAGGCAAAGACCCTTGTAGAAGGTCTCCACCAATATTTATTCTTCTCACTGACATGAACCCCTCAGTGTTGGGCCGGGGCAGAATAAATATGCATAACCCAATACATCTTCTTACGCTGAAGAACCTCCCTAGAACAAGGCAGGAACAATGTCCTCGGGCTTGGAGGACCAGTATTGAGTACAGATAACACAAATGGGACACTTCCGCTTACGGCGGGGTCCCTGCAAACACTTCCCGCACACAGAGAGCAGACAGATGGCCATGGTGGGGAATAGAACATTCAGCAGACAGAGATTGGAGCAAGGAGTTCATGGACCCCGACGGAGATGTAGGACCCAATAATCCCGACTCACCCAACATTGGATGTCAGCAGAACGGACAGTTAGATGGTGAAGATAAGGGCCACCTGAAAATGATATTTAATATTAATGGAGCCTTGTGGGCCAAGACCTTCTCGCCATCATTTCTATCTCATCAGTAGAACTTTAGAGACTTACAGGAAACGCTTTCACTCGTCTACCAGATGCAGAAATATCAGTTTTGGGTGAATATTCTCATTAGTTGCATCTCAAAATGTTAAAGGGACTTTCCTCCATTATACAAACCGTCACCTGAAGCTGAGCTCTGGTTTCCCATCCTGTGCACCTCCATATTGTCCTAGAGCTGTGATAGGTGGACTCGTCAGTCAGTAGGAGGGTGCAGGGAGGTCCTGAGCTCAGCTTCAGGAAGTGAAGTCGGAAGGGTATTACAGAGGGCATGTGATCCCTGAAGTCAGAGAAAAGTCCATATCTGGATACTTGTTCGGGGTGAGTGACGGACGGGATCCAGGCCACTACCATTCCCACAAGGAGCTCAGCAATGGAGTTGCCCATATTGCTCACGTGTGAGGGGAGCACTTCAACACCATCCTTCTTCTACTGAGACCAAAGGAGTTGTTTTGACGTGAGCACATGGGCGGGAGGGTGGTAGGGTGTCCCCCCTCATGTGCCCCCCCCTCACTAGATGTCCCCAGGGCACAGAGCACTTCTAATGCAATGTTTCTGTTGTCCACAGGGAGCCGAATTTGCTGTCTCCCATGAAGACTTTGTGAAGAGCGTCCTCCCCTCCCTATCCGAGATGGACACCGTCCTCTTCCTCTTCACCATTGATGGTGAGTGAATATACCCACCAGAAGTACGGATTCATCTCTGTGTTCTGCATTGAGATCATCTCTCCGTTGGGTATAGAAACCATTTATGTGTTGAGTCCGCAGAACATCTCTGCGTTGGGTATAGAGACCATCTCTGTGTTGGGTATAGAGACCACCTCTGCGTTGAGTATAGAGACCATCTCTGCGTTGGGTATGGAGACCATCTCTGTGTTGGTTACGGAGACCACCTCGGCGTTGAGTATAGAGACCATCTCTGCGTTGGGTATAGAGACCATCTCTGCGTTGGGTATATAGACCATCTCTGCGTTGGGTATAGAGACCACCTCTGTGTTGGGTATATAGAACATCTCTGTGTTGGGTATAGAGACCACCTCTGTGTTGGGTATAGAGACCGTCTCTGTGTTGGGTATAGAGACCACCTCTGTGTTGGGTATATAGAACATCTCTGTGTTGGGTATAGAGACCACCTCTGTGTTGGGTATATAGAACATCTCTGCGTTGGGTATGGAGACCACCTCGGCGTTGAGTATAGAGACCATCTCTGTGTTGGGTATAGAGACCACCTCTGTGTTGGGTATAGAGACCGTCTCTGCGTTGGGCATGGAGACCATCTCTGCGTTGGGTATGGAGACCGTCTCTGCATTGGGTATGGAGACCATCTCTGGAAGGTCTGACTCTGGAGGCCCCATTCCTTGTTCACACTGCAAAACCAGCTGCACTACCTAAAAAACGCAGCACTTCCTTATTGGTCAGCGACATTCCAGGAGGCGGAGTCAGTTAAGTTGGGATCTCCTCTTGTATTGGGTAGTTAGTGTGTGGCAGGCAGAGGGAGAACCAAAGCTTCTTGTAAATGGCAGTCAGCGCCAGTGGAGTGACGGATCCAAGCAATTCTGGGACAAGTGCCCTTAGCACCCAAGGGATAAGAGCCCCACCTTGGGGTGTAAACTACCTACGCAGTATAGGTGGCAGATCCTCCCCTTTTTTGCACCCCTCTTATTGAAGCACCCAAAGCAGTCGCCTCTTCTGCCTACCCCTTGGCCCAGCCCTGGATCCACGGCCTATACCACATTACAAAGGAGCAGGTTGGTTGGCCGAAGGATGTTCCCTGAGGGTCGGCACCGAAGTGTGTGAGTTCAGTTTAGGGAACCCAACAGCTAAGCACGTGGGGTGGGTCAAATGAGTATCAGATGCTAAAAAAAAATCTGTATTTCATACATAAGACCCTCCCTCTGGGTACCGCCCACTGATGGCCTCTTACTATCTCTTGGCATCCACCAACCCAAAGCCAACAACATGAGCTATGTACAGCGCCAATCATCTATCAATGCGCTAATCGGAGATGAGGGGAGGGTCAGCAGGCCAGGGAGCGGGTGCCGTGGTTGGAGATCTAACCCTCCTCTCTACGTAATGGGGTTCTCTGTGACCACGCCCATCATAGGGTATATATTGAAGGCACCTTGAGACCTCCCTCGAGGATCAGACCCACCCCACTGTCACCTAAACATTCACATAGAGGAAGGAACTCAGGGGCAGCTCCAGTCTCGGCGTATCTAACAGGGACAAGGTCCTGTAGCTCCTCCTTCCTTGCCTTAGGGAACACTGACAGCAACATATTTCAGGCACCCACAGACAAGGGATGTTGGGGGTTCTGGGGGCACATTGGTTCCAGCATTGGCTCAGTACCCCGCCCCTCCATCTTGTGGAGTAAGAGCTCTGATGTCTCTGCTCTCTTGCAGATGAGGTCAGCGAGGTGGAGAAGCTGGTGGAGCTGGTGAAGGAGAAGACATCGAACATCCACGCCGTCTCCCACTCCATAGCGGGACAATACCTGCCGGTGAGTGAGCCGCGCCGTTCCCCAATCCTCCGCCCTCTTCTACTGCCGTTCCATTGGGTTACCTGCCAGCAGCTGCCTCAGCTTGGATCCAGTACATAGCACAGCTCAGTGATTGTGCTTCACTGGTCCTACACCCTCCACATGGATAATTCATCTGACCTCAGCAGCCGTTCAGTAGGAGTGCTGACTGTACTGCTTGATGAACACATCTGTATGTGAAACACAAAACCCCCCACATGTCTGTTACCTCCTCTTCCATCTTCTTACTCCTCTCTTCTTAAAATTCACCGTCACCCTTTTATTTCCATCAGAATTCCACCAAAAAGATCATCCCGAACATCATCAGTATCATGTGGCCCATCCTGTTCCTGGAGTACGAGGGAGCCTTCATCCAGGTACACCTCCTCAGCCAATCAGCATTGTCTCTCATGTGATCAGTCAATGGGGTGGTGTCATGTGATCGTTCAGAGCCAATGTAGTGAATGCTGGTGGTGTGATGACATCATCCAAAGGGTGGTGCGTCGCTGATGATGTCACAGCTCTTCTATTGCTCTGCGTATGTAGTAGGATTTTTTTTTTCCTTCCGTTCCCCAACAGAAGTTTCAGAGGGAGCTGAGCAGTAAGTGGATCCTGAACACGGTGACCACCGGGGCCCATGTCCTGAAGGGCCAAATATACCGAAACTTCCCGGTGGACTTCAGAATCAGTAATTCCAAACTCTTTCACCGAGCAATCTCCATCCTACAGGTGAGTGTAGCAGCTCCGCCCCCAGGGTACCCCTCATTTATATCGTCCAACCCCATAACGTGGACCTCCGTCATCCACAGCGACTGACAGGACACTCCCAGAGCCGGTGCACTGAGGCCCTTCTCCAGGCCGTCCACGGAGAACCGGTCCTGAGTGAGCAGACCAAGAACACCGACATCTCCAGACATGTGGGCGTGGCTTCATCGAAGGACAAGGCAAGTGACCTGAGTGACCACTGGTCCGGGAATGTGACCAGCACCTACTCCGGGAACCAGTATACCAGCTACACAGATTTCCAGTATAGTTATGCTTCACTGAGCTCCAGTGGAAGGAAGGTTCAAGGAAGGAAGGGTGGCCGGGGCGGGTTCTCATTGGAAGATTCCGTAGGTGTCATCCATAAAGAGTTCCAAAACAGATAGGTGTCACCTTCATGGTGGACCACCAGTGGAAGGAAAGGTCACCTGAGTGAGGGGGGCTCTGGTGGGAGGTGGTGACACCCATACAGAGTTAAAAAACAGATAGGTGTCACCTTCATGGACCACCGGTGGTAGGAAAGGTCACCTACGGGGGCTTCCAATGGCAGATAGGTGTCACCTTCATGGACCACCAGTGGAAGGAAAGGTCACCTACGGGGGCTTCCAATGGCAGATAGGTGTCACCTTCCTAGATCTGTAGCGGAAGAGAAGATCACCTGAGTGAGGGGGGCTCTGGTGGGAGGTGGTGACACCCATACAGAGTTAAAAAACAGATAGGTGTCACCTTCAGAGATCTTCAATGGAAGGAAAGGTCACCTACGGGGGCTTCCAATGGCAGATGGATGTCACCCTACAGAGTTCCAAAACAGAGGTGTCACCTTCCTAGATCTCCGGGAGTGTTGCAGTGGAAAATGGGTGTCACCCATACAGAGTCCCGGTAGAAGATCGGCGTCTACACCACGGGGCTCTGCACCGCAAAACAGTGGGCATGGCCTATTGTTTTCATGCGTTGAGGTGCATTACAGGCTATTCATTTTGAATGGCCTGTAGGGAGCAACCCATCTCAGTCCCTCTATGTATGAATGGGCCGGCATTCTAAATCAGCATAGGCCCGCTGCTGGGATCTAGCTCTGACTCAGCCAGGGACTCTGCAGAGAGACCACTGCTTCCACACAGAGAACAAACAAAGGCACATTGGAGGCAAACAACGGCACGCAGGTGGCACAGGGGTACACTTGGAGATATGCTGGAGACACTGAAGGTCACAAGGGGCAGAGGTCTTGGAGAAGGTGGGAATACATGGGGGGGGGGGGGGGGGGGGGGGTCAAAAAAACGCGGGGGGGGGGAGGAAAAAAAAAAAAAAA